GAAAGGACTGAAGTCAGTGAGCTTCCCACACCTTGAGTTCATGAACTCTCTCTGAGCCCATTTCCCCACCTGCCAAATGAGACGATGATAGGGTGCACTGTGAGGTGACATCACTAAGGGACTGAGTCCAGAGCCTGGCAGATATGGGATAAAGTGCCCAGCCACTGGTAGCTGCCAAACTACCATCCTTGTCACCATCATCATAAGACCATGAGGTTCTTGAGGATGGCGATATTGTCAGGCTTCTTGCTTGCCCCCAAGGCCTTCAGCACACAGTAGGTCCTCGTGGCTGTTAAGCCCCTTCAGCAGTTGGTTCCAGTGTGCCCACTGTGTGCCAGGCCCCGTGTCAGGGCCATGACACAGTCCTGGAGTTAGGTGGATTACATCCCAGCCCCAAGTGTCACTTGCTCTGTGACCTAATCTCTCTGAGCTAAGGGTTCTCTGCCTGAAACTTGGGACTGATATATGAGAGCAGCCCCCTCTCAGGGCCGCCTGGATGATTCCACCAGATGAGGCAGCCAAAGAGCTGATCCCAGTGGCTAGTGCCCAGTAAGAGGCTCCTGGGCTGTCAGAGCGGCCAGCAGCGGGGGCGGGTAGTGTGTGCGAGTTGAAGACTGGAGTGGGAGGACGTAGAAGGGCAGCCTCGCGGCTGCCGCTGGAAGACTACCTTGCTCCCCTCCCCCAGGGCTTCGGGACACGGAGTGGCCGGGCCGGACGCAGTTGCTGCGGCGGGGCCCCCTCACTTGGTACCTGGACGGCGCGCACACCACCAGCAGCATGCAGGCCTGCGTGCGCTGGTTCCGCCAGGCGCTGCAAAGCCGCGGGAGGCCGAGCGGGTGAGCTGCGGACAGAGGCGGGGCTGGGGCGGGACCTCGGGTAAGGATGGGGCGGGACCGGGGACGGGGGCGGGACTTGGCCAGTGGAGAGGGGAGGAACCTTGAGGAAGGATGGAGTGGGGCCCGGGGCAGGACTGGGCCAGTGGGGAGGGGCGGGGCCTCGGGGAAGGATGGGGCGGGGCGCAGGGACGGGGGCG